TTATGTGTTTCTTTATTTTTTTATAGCACAAGTTATATAAATGCATGCCAATTGTTAATCACTGGTTTAATATTTATAATATTTATAAGAATACGAGCAACAATAACACTGAATTAATTATTAATAATTTGAATATTACAACCATTAAAAAGTAAAATGATTATGTACGATTAAGTTTCAGCATACAAATATACTTTTTCTTATAAATATAAATCGTGTATAAAATATCTTTAAGTGTAATGATAAATAACTATGAATAAGTGGGGACTCTTGAAACTACTGTTTAATAATACATATTTAAGGAACATAACGATAAAGTTTATACTATTATTATTAAAAGATATACCACGGTCATAAGAAGAACCGGAGTAAAGTATATTTATTAAAAATAATTCTATTTCTAACCATTTGTCAGCTGGCGCCTTGCAATAATATTTTTACAATGGAAATAACTAACTGCCTGCGATATTCATATCATTATAGTACGACATAATGATACGATAAGGGATTGAATAGTACCCAGGAGAACGAAGCTCCAGGCAAATGCATTAATGTAATTTTATGGTTGTTATAATACTAGAAATAGTCTTCTACCATGAGTTCTTTTTAATAGACGTCTATTTTTAAGTTTTACTTTGTTTCTGCTTTATTTTTAATGTAGTAAACATGTTGCTGATGACACATCGTCTTAATAATGGTATGTAAATGCCGCTTAATGTAATATTTTCGTTTTCAATGATAACTTATTAATTACTAAATTGACTAGGAGTAAACTATAAGGTCCAGCTTGTGGTGAGTGGTAAAATAACACCCATGGGTAGGTATATCATATATGACATTTATTATACTGATATTTATTTTAATTTGTGTTAGACGAGATGCTGCGGCAAATTTTCTATATCGATGTAGACTTTTGGATGAAGATTATAAAATGAAAAAACTATAGATTCAATTTTGTCATATAAATAGGATATTTATATGACAAAATTGAAAGATATTATAAGAGGCTATATTTTGTTATATTAAATAAAGGATATAATAGTATATTATTAGCCTCTTATGATACCCTATTACTTCCACTTCTGAAAACCACAGTAAGATTTTAGTTCAAGACAAAAAGAGACAGATCTTCTGTGTTAGAAATTGCAATGGCTATCTTAATTCATCATATTAGAATGCGTGTACACGATAGCTAGGTAAGATAGCATTGTTTAATGGCATAGGCGAATTACACTATTTGAAGTTACTAGCTGTAGTATATTATCACGTCGTATATCTAAGTGGATGTTATAGTCTTTTATGAGTCAAATAAAAGTTACTATATTATCTATATATTATTATTGTGTTAATTTGTGTAAATGTACGCCGAGAATTGAACCGGTCTGTGTAAATCTATGTAGTTGATATTGTCTGAACAATTGACTACAGTTATATGTTGTGTTCTATGTTTTCAACTATGAATACGTTTTAAACAGGCAGTTAACAAATGACAGTTGGAAACTGTACACTAACTACGCAGTCAGTTGTAGTAGTCATAGCTGTAATTAATTGACTGCATCACTACACATTGTATGTTTGATATATTTTTGGATTTTTGTATTGATATAGAATTTATTTAACATGAAATACAGTCCATATCACTTGCTGATAATGTAAGTTTCAGTAAATGAAATCGGTTAAGTACTTATTATACCGAATATATTCATTTCACACAAATGTTTACTCTTTCTAATATTACTTAGTTGTTCTAGGGTGCAACGATTGAATAACATAGTGACATTCTTTATCTAAGGTTACAATTGTGTTCACATGGACTGTACAATACATAGAGACCCATTACGTATGTTTATGTTACGCTCTGTACACATTTCGTTCTGGGCGTGGGTTTAATGCCAATCCGAGTTATTTCGAACGGTTTCTGTGACGTTGGCGCTTTGCTTACCGATTATTTAGTCTGGATTCCGTTATTTCCGTGTTTGGGTGCGGAGTTTAATTATTTTGTACTGACTCGGTGTTTTTTTTCTTTAATACTTTCATAAGTTTGTTTGTGTTAATGTAGGAAATATACAGTTGTATGACTACTTAAGTGAAGTTTATGCGAATTTTATAAATGAGTATCTATATGATATATGACGATATTTGACAGAATTTAATGTAAAATTGATTAATTGATAGTACAGTCGTTTTTAATATAATAGACATATGCTTTATAAATTACATCTCTAGACATACTTAATATATAGTTTGGTCTTATCATTTTATTGTAATTTATACGCGATCTTCTCTACATTACACAAATAGTATTTACGTAAGACAAAAATATAAATAATGTACAAAATATTACATTAAATATGTAGGTATTTTTTTAATAATAATTTATTATTAAATTATTAGTATTGGTACATTATCTGTAGTGAAAGATAAAATTGGATCAAATCATATCGACTTAAATTTTTAAATACCATATTTACCCAGCTTGCTTGCTTTATTACGTGTTTCTTATAAGTTCTCAAAGGTTAATAACCTAGTTCCAGAGCAGTATTTAGGAAGGTGTCTGTTTAACTTTACATAAATTTGGCCTCTAATTTTGTGCGTAAGTCTTGTGAAATACTACTCAAATAGTGAACTTCCATTCTTTAGCGATCTATCTATAAAACGACGTTACTTAACTTTTTTATAATTATCACTATAAAATAGAGTGAGTTGGTAGAGCTGAAATCTATAAAAGAAAAAAGAAAATTAGATATTTACATTAATCCTTTTTTTTAGAGGGAATATAAATATTCGTTTCCTGTATAAGTTAAATCATAGACTAAGCTAGGGAGAGTAGGGCCGCGAGAGCCTTCGGAAGATCAGGCGGAATGTGCGCGCAAGGTCATTGCGCCCTGCGCGGTCATGCGCTTGCGCCCCCGGCTGCGTCCCGCGCACCTCCCACCCCCCACCCTCCACCACATTGTCTCGCGATCAGCTGCGGATAAGGGGGAAGCGACCGCACCGAAAGGCGATAGGAACTATTTCAATGCGAAACTAACTCCATTTTTCCGTTTTGCTCATCCGCTCGACGGATGCATGAACGCCTAGGGCCATATTGTTTCTAGTTTAACGCCATTTTCTAACCTATAGAGAAAAGGATTATGGGCGTCTTGTTAAGGTTTATTACGAAGCATCGTGGTTTTATTTTGAGCGGTATTGAAATTGCCTTAGTGTAGAATTGTTTAGGCAAATGGGCAATTCATATACGTAGTAAATACTCGTAGGTAAGGTTATTTAATCAGCATAAGATGTTTTTTTCTTAAATATAAGACAAATAAGTATAGATCTTATTCGATGTTGCAAAAATTAATGTGTTACATCAAATTTTCTAAATACCAACGTATTCACACATTCGATAGTTTTGTTTTTAAAGCGGCATAGCTAAAGTATGACTAATTCAATAGGTGACGATAAATAAACGATACGCAAAATATCACGATTTACCCCAATCCATGTAAAGTGGCAATATATTAGAATTCCGTTATTATCTAAATGTTTTAGCACGACAGGTCCTAATAAAGCACATTTATATACTTTTAATCCGAATGAATATGTCGTATGAATATAAATATATCATTGTCGTATATTATAGAATCTCAATGAAAATGTCAAAAGAAGAGGTAAAATCTCAGCAGGACGTTGCTATATTTTCATAGGAAAAAACGTTAGGTATATAAAATGTACAGATGAAAAGAATTATCATAATTTGACCGTTCAATTTGTCAATAAAATAAATTGTTAGTAGGTATAACAATTTATGTTAATTTATTTCAGATAAAAGATACCGTTTTATAATAATAAATATTTTACACAATCTTTCCAACGAATGTTCACAGTTACCGCAAATTTCAACAGGGAAATTGTCATAAAATGTCAACTGCGTGAAATACACTAATATAAATACCTCCAGTTTGGTAATATCTATCAGATTCCCATATATGTAAGGACGTTTTTTGAGGGTAGTTGAATCATTCACTGACACCTACTAACAATGACAACTCTGTACATTAGGCAAAGTAATTTAGATAAAACATCGAGTAAGGTGTATATTTTACTACTTATTAATAAAATGTATTCACAATATACTTCTAGTTTAAACAAATTCAAATATTTTAAATTAAAACATTCTTTGTTGGCTTAGCGGAAAAATACTAGCACTATCCTTTAATTTTTAGTCCTAATACAATTACACACGAGTAGATACCTAATTAGTGGTGCGTGTTGCAAAGTGCGTGTCTGCTTCTTGTAAATCTGTCATAATTACTTATTTTTTGTGTCTAAACTATTAACCGTATGCATGAATTGCTCGAGATTTATTTGATTATAATTATTAGAGTGTTAAAAATATACTCATGTCATATGCCAGGACGGACATATGACATGCCTCTCAATTTGTTTGAATACTTAATCATTTGGAAATATACAAATATCCGGCTACTGCATCTCACAAATGTACTAACTACGAGATGATTATGGTCGATTCATTTTGAATATAAGTTTTATATACTGACAGTTTAATTTGGAACAAGTAGAAAGTTTTGTCGATATTTGCACTAATTATGTACCACCCAGAGGTCCAGTTAATGGATAAATGTATAGCCTCATAGACAGAACACAGATACCTGGTCAATAATACATTTCAGAATTCCGAATCGTATCTTGTCGCGAATGGAAAATAGTTATTGACCACTTTTAACGGTATACCATGCGGTATTACGAATTTAGTGCTTTCTTATATTTTCTTATTGTTGATAAAATTGGATGTAACTGTGTCTCCATTTTGCAGAAATGTTTGCAAGCACTCTGTATCAATTGGTCTGTCATATCACGTAATGAAAGTAATAGAATTTGAATTGGTAGGTTTGATAGCGCGCGCGAGTGCCTAATGTATTGATTAATTGTACAATAGAAAAAACAACGGTAAACCTCATATTATATAACTGATTATTGATTTTATTTTGTTGCAGGATTGTGTTCCTGAGATCGACACCAAATATTAATTCGAAACAGGTATTAATATCTATGTTTAATTACTATAATCATATTTTAGAACATACCTATTATAGTAATGCACAATACACTAACATAACTGACTAACATTAATTATATTGTACTTTAGCATATGAAAAATTATATATTATAAACATGTTATCACATTTTTTAAGATTGATTATATTAGATTTTTTATAAACCACAAATAATAGTTTTATTCATACCATTCTATCTAGATATGACATAATATATTTCCATTTATTTATTCACAATAATGTAAAAGACGTTTTATGATTTTTATGATTTATTGTAGCCTTTGTTTGAATGGAAGCAGGGGCGTGGGCTGAGTGAACATAGTTCAATTGATCGCATGATTTATCGATATTAAATTCGCACAGATGATTCTTTTGTTGTTATGATGATAGACAGAAAAGAAAATTGATGTGTGGTACTTAAAAGTGAAAGTTGTAAATGGACGGACCGTCTATTTTAAAATTGAATTGATTCTGATTTTAGCTTTTAATCATCCATATAGATGTTGCTTTGATGTGAGGCAAAAAATAATCACTTTCTTTACAAAACACGGCACACACGGCGAAAGTCTAAGGAATTTTTTGTTATTGGTGTGCTTCAACTGAATGACAGATTGAGGTTAATATCATAAAGTAATGCATATTTAATATGCATATACCTTTTTAGGACTTATTTGTGGGATAACTAACTAATTTATTCCATCAGGTGTATAGGTATAGATATACAGATTGATAAATGTATACATATAATCACATGTAAACAAGTTAAGACTCAATTATGAGACATAAAAATAGTATCTTCATCTGATTGTTAAGTTGGTACCGTGATTTATTTTGTCAAATAACTATTATTAGAATGATATCAGAAAGATTATCGGTATTTTAGCTCATAGACTGAGTGTATTAATCGTGTAATTTCAATCAACAATAATCAATATTACATTTTACATAGGTATATACGAATACAGTCTATTAAGCCATTTGAAATATTGAACTTCAGACCAAATACTACAACAACTTTTCCCCAATTTAAACTCATTTTTTAAGTGTTTACATGATCGGGTATTTCAGTGACTAAAATATTATGTAACATTAATATACTATTGCTATTCAATTATAAACCAGCTTCAAGAATATTGTCACGATATTTCAAAATAGTATATCATTTATTAAAAATCGTAAAATAGTAATTTTTATTTCGTTTATGCAATATTTACCAACGAGCCGTTTTGTGAATAACGAGATTTGATATTACTTATGACCTGTTTAAGTCGATTGTAATTGAAATAAAATATATGATTTTTGAGCTGAGCAGACGCTTTTTGAGATGTTATAAGTCAATTTGTCGAGGGACAGCCAATACCCGCAACTGCCGGAGGTTGAAGAAATTTCCACAATTCCACATTTTGTGTACTGTTTAGAGTGAAATTGCCGTGTAATAACATAATGGTCAAAATCATAATTGACATTGGCACAATGTTTGCAAACAGTGTTGTTGAACTACTGTACGTAAAAAAGAAAAGTAAATTTGAAACTTTTAACTTTCTAAATAACTTCGTGTAATAATAATAATAAATGGATAAATTGTTTGTTATGTCCACAATACATTATGTAAGATCACAGTAAACACAAGTTTTAGATACTTCATCATCATGACCATGCTTTATTCTATTTATAATAATATATTATATTTGATATAGCTGAAGTAGGTATTTTTTATTATCATGTCATAGATAAATAAATAAATTATAACCAATGTTGTATAATTTTAAATATTATTGACAATATTACCATTTTATGTTTGCATTATGACTTATAGTTGCCAATTCTGAAATCATGACTTTCTGTAATGGATACTTTATGTAGTGTCATTTCTGCATCATTTACATGCATAAAAATAGGTACATTAAAAGAAAGTACATTTGTGTATGCTATGTTTTAAAGTTAAAGATAGGCTATATTTTCGTGATACGAACTTAATTTAATGTTAATTTTATTAAGGTCTGTTCAGCCGATTAGACGTAACAGTTAACGAATAGTATATAGGCTTATGGAGATTTCGCCTTTATAATATAAAGTATAGACATGTACCGTACACCATTGAATAAAAAATACCGTGTTTTATGGGGGCATGAATGTTTTGCCTTTGTAAATTAAATTCATCGTTTTGCTACACACACACATTTGTGCCTAATTACGACTCCTGAAGGAATTCTAAATTTAAAAATAATTTAAAAGTATAATCAATAGAAATTGTAAAAATGGTTTAATAATACTTTAAGTAAATAATAGACATAAATGATGATAAAGTAATGAGTTTACAACACTACCAATACTAATGCTACTAGCATTATATAATACTTATTTCCCAGGCTTGGTGGTCTGGGAAAGCAGTAGCTATTAGTATATTACGTTTATAATTGTGGAATTATAAGGCATTGTTTAGAGTACAATTTAAGCAGTGATTAACTAAATTACTATTAAATAAAAGTTACTTTTGATGTATGAATTTTTCAAAAGAGGTAAATGGCTGAACATAAAGCTAAAAACAATAGAGATAGAACTATGAATAAAGAGAAATATCTAAAAATATAAATATATTTACTACAAACATTGAGTATATTTACTAAAATATGCATACTTGATAAATCTTTAAAACATTTTTGTATATCATAAATATTTATTTATTTTAAAAAATCTTTGGACCCACCAAATGGCTTGGTTTTGAAAAATATATAACATTGTTTGTGTAATATAGCTCAAGTTTTCAACCTTTTGAGAGTTATACAAAAATCCATATAAAAATATGATATACAGTAATGATAAAATTACTAATAAGTATACAATGGATCTAATTAATGATTCGTGTTATAAAGGATTATGGATGTAGAATTATAATCTTATGAAGAATATTCTGTCATTAAAACAAATTTAGTAATAAATTTGTATAGTAATGTAGAAAAGGTAGAGTCGTAATGTGTACAATATGGTATTATATTTTAAATTTTTTAATCATCATTATAATAATTATTAACTAATAAGTAAAATATTCAGTCGTGTTATGCAGAGAATGAATTAATATTTAATAGTACTTTTTTAAATTAAGTGTGGATGTTTATTATTTAACTACAACGAAAAAAATTTGACGCCCCTAGGGAGATAATTTATAGTGAGAAGTTGTTAGAATTAAGTATTAATAGACATGATTTATAGCTATACTAGTGGTATTTTTTATGAGGTATACCAATTATCTATCATGTTTTACATGCCCAGTGGCAAGATTGGTTCGTGAGTAGACTGTGTTATTATTACGCTTGTTTTTTTATTTATTTTACGGTAGGCAGATACTAGAGAATGTCATCTGCTTCTGTTCTTTACTTATTATATATTATTTACATTACTTTTCTTATATATATGATTATTACTTTATAAATATATATATATATCTTCAAATAGTATAAAATGAAGTCGCTACCGCTGTTTATTCGTTTAGATCTTTTAAAGTACGCAAAGGATTTCAATGTAGTTTTTTAAGAGTAGATATAGTGATTGAAAAAGAAGTTTATATATATAATACATGTACACCTGTGCAATGGCGGTGCGGGTTGGTAGTATTAAAATAATAGGGGATAGAAGTATCTAACATGTTAGAAGCTATTATGTTGGTAGAAACTAGATCAAAATCATCAAATGTTCCTACAACTTTTGCTATAAACGTTACGGTTTACTACTATATATCAGAAAATTTTAATTTTTCTTATCATTATTATTAATCTTTTTTACTTGCGTTCATTTTATTTGTGTTCATGAATGGTTATTATTTAAAATATATTGCTTGGTTTGTTAAGAGATACCTGAAAAGACGTAATAGTGATATTTATTTGGAAACTGCTACCGGTGGAATATTTTTTTATCTGTAATTGTATAGTTTTTGCTAGTTTATCTGTTGGCCAGGAACCAGACATCAACTACAATGAATAATTTCTCGGGACCTGTCAAACGTGCAGGTGTCTATGTCTTCATTGGCAACAAGTGTCAATAATTGGAGTTTCTTTGAATGTTTCTAAATAGCTTATTTTAGTATCAGCCTGTATAGGCTTGTTTACTTCAACCGGCCTGGCAACTGCGTGGACGGCGCCAGTTCTCAATGTGCATTTATTACTTTTTGCAGCAACTCGTGGGCTCACTGGACGAAATTTATGTAGGATTTGTTAGTATTGGAGACATAGAAATAAATTCAACTGGATTTTCTGTTATACCTTTTTTGCAAGCTATGAGTAGACAGAGTAACATAGATTAAAACAACGTTTGTATTATTCGCATAATACAATCACTTGCGAGCTTTCTTTATAATATTTTCGTTATTAAAAAGTCTTTGGTCTTATTATTATTTAAATAACTTTATTTGCTAAAATATGCGCTACAGACGATCCTAATGGTAATAGATCTCGTTAATCATTATGCCATCTGTCTACGCCCTTTATAAGGCTTTATAATTTCCCACTTAATGAGTTTTATTCCGGTTTTCTCCACAATTAAAATAAATCTCAAAGAAAGTACTCTAATTACATTGAATATTCATAATATATCGTGAAGGCAGTAAAGTTTTAGCTATGTTTTTTGAACGTTTACATCTGTAACTCTTTTGACGATTAAATATTTAAGCCAAGTCGAGGCAAGTCGCTAGTATTGTATTAATTTCAATGGGCATATCTACTAGACATCTATAAATTGTTGCTATCTGGTACAGGGGCTAGTTCTCGCGCATAAGACAGACAGCGACAACGTACAGCAAACACAAGTCCACATTTCGAATTCCAGTGCTGTCCTTTTAGATACGTAAACACGCGATTCTCTGCCATATATATCGTTAATTCAGTTTAAGTAGAACTATCGGGCTTACTAAACTCTCCAGTAAAATCCGTAAGTGGAAGGCAACATGTTATCGTCTTCATTAGTGAGTGTTTTATGTCATGGCTAATAGTT